GCTAAGTATAGGTCTGTCACAAAAATACTAATGGAATACATCATGGTTTGTGGTCACAGAGTGATAAAATGTCACATAAAAGGCCACCAGCAGGAGGTGTGTGTGGCTGTGTGTGTGTGTGGTCAGTGAATAAAGGTGGAAGAATGAGCCACACATACATACAGCCTCTGTCCTTCATCACTGCTCTCTGACATCAGCTAACCGGGCTTTCCAAAATGCATTTTCCCCTCTCTTCCAACATTCAGGAATGCCACCATCTTTTGGACAAATAAACAACCGTGCAGAGTTAATGGAAATGTGGGACTGCACGTCACACTCCCTCACAGACAGACCACAGAACCGCCTCGCTATACTAAAGCACACAGGGAATAGGTCTGGAAATGACTCTTTTTAAAGCTCATTTTATGATTATTTTTTAATGGGCAGTTTTGTTCTTTGGGTGAGTTTTTTTTATACATAAAATTACATGCTTTCAGGGCCTTCGGTGGAATAAACCCTCCCTCGAAATAATTACAGGTTTTTTTTTTTTTATTGAAAATGTTCCATAAGCGAAAAGCAACTATTATATTTCTTTTAAGCAGAAATAGCTGTTTCACCTCTAGGAGGGATCCTATTACCAGCAAAGAAAAAAAAAAACAAATTAAAAAGAGAAATTACCACTGTCTGTGGTCAAAAATGAATAAAAAAGGCAAAATAAAAAAGCTTTCAGGCTGTTTCAAGCTTTTAAGGACATTTCAGTCCTCGGCACCTTTTGATCAGTTTCTGACACATAGATATATCAAACCTCCATCCAACTCTTCACACCCACAAAATCACAAACTGAAAGCGTCGACCTAAGAAACAACTTCACCTCTCTGAGGGGAAATCATGCCATCTGCCACTAAACGACAGTCATTTTACCCCCACAGCTCATCCATCTGTGGACACGGGAACTCTGCTGGAGCCCAGAAAGCAGCAGGGGGGACAAGCCGGACATACCTACTAGGTGGGGACACGCAGAAAAATGGAGCAATACCAAATATTGATGATTTATAGAAGATGAAGTTAAAGAACCAATACGTAAAAAATGTACAGAAAAATTTACAAATTCTCATCAAACACTCAGATTGGAAACAAATATTTCCTATGAACAATCGGCCATCAAGACATCAAAACAAGTTTTTCCCTTCTAAAACCTGAAGGTACAGAGCCGACGACTTTTATGCCTGAAGCTCTTATCTACTTCCTGGTTCCTGAGCTTACTGTAAGAGAATCGTAAAAGTTGCCAATAGAGAGTGAAGCATTTAGTGTTTTATGTTGGCAAACGCTGGCACCCTTCAATCTGAGCATGCACACATCAGCTGGGCTGCTGCTATCAACAACACCATTTACATATAAATGACAAGAGTTGAGCCTTTTTTTCAGTGCTTTGTCCTGTTTCTCTCCTAGACATATCTATTTATAGACAGTTTAGTTTCATATTAATTTATTCATAATTCTCAACACATGTCACCTCAAGGCACTTTACAGTTCAACCAGATCATACAGTCAAATTGATAGAAAGTTTTCTATCTAAGGAAAACCAGTTGATTGCATTGACTCATTGACTCAAATACAATCCCTCACACTAAGCATGCTTGTAGCGACAGTGG